CCGGAGGGTTGTTATGGCAGCGAGGTTCCGCGAGGGACATGCTATTGAATGAATGAATGAATCCCCATAGAGTGAGCTTTTAGTTATAATTGTGAGTAGGTTATTTGCGCCACATAGAATGGCACGTTGCTCGCCACAAAGCAGCCATGAAAAGGACTCTTGCAGTGTTGATGCGATTAAAGCATACAGACCCAAACACTTTCCCGACCGACGACTAGGCTGTCTACAGGCTAGCTAATGAGCGACCCTGTCTTCGATGACTAACTTGGTTTCATGGTTGCCATACTGGCATTTTTTATGCCTGATTCCACAAATTTGGCACATTTGAAATTGAACTGGCATTAGATTATGAACTGGCATATTTTGGCATATTTGGTTTTTTCCTGGCTTTCCTTATCAAGATGTGCTCACATCTTTTTCATGGTACCTCCGTTAGAAACATGCAGATTTACTAAAAGCAATGTAGACCTAGTAAACATCTTTATTTCAGTGTGACTTTGTTGTTATGTCATAGTATGGACTAACAGAGATTCGCGCAATTTCTTACTGTATTTGTTGTCTTCCTAAACGGATCATGACTTTGATAAACCAAGGCCCTCAGTAATTTATGTTGATCTACAAGAATAAATGCAGGATATAAAACTAAAACCCACCACTGATACCACGTGATTTAGACTGTTTAGAAACTACTTGAGGACAGAAAATAGAGAGGATATAGACCTAGTTCTATCTGTGATAGATTTTATTACTTTTACCAATGGCCTTGTCATCCAAAAAATGGAAAGCATCTTATGCATTGGAAGAAAACATATCCATGGCTCAAAAGATCTTCAGACGGATCAGATGCAGCATTTTGCAAACTGTGTCAGTGAACTGTTGCACCAAGAACTAGTACTATATCAAATCATGAAATTGCGAAAAATACAGGATGAAAACTCCGTCAAAACACCTTATTACAACAATGACTCCTGGGCAAAGTAATAAAAAAGTTAAAGGCAGCAGAGTTCTGCTATTACTTTTTTCTACCCCCAACTACCCCCCAAGGCGACCACAATATTTCAATTTTCGAGACAAGATGCTGTTTATTAGCCAATCTTCCTTGCTGTTCAAATTTTCCAGAATGTCTGTATTGCTTCTCTTCTTTGTCCTTGGCATTCTGAGAATCTTTCTATAGCATTTCCGCACAAAAGTCCCTATTTTCTCCCAAAGAGATGGGGGATAGTTAACGACGCACATTCATATGTTGCTATACGGAAGATTTATGATCCTGTTATGCCATTATATGTCGCATAGTGCTTGCAGTCTATTCCTCCGTTCCTCCTCTCCTGTGCAATCAGTTCAATGTCATGGATGGAAACCTGTCCAACAGCTTTGACCTCTCTCCCCAACGTTCGTCTTAGGTTTCTTTTGGGCGTCCTTCCCTTTATAATCCATTTATTTCCCATTTTAATGCCTACCTGCAGGTTCTCAGGATGGGTCCAATGTAGCGCCATCTTCTCTGTCTTATAACTATTGATACCAGGCATTTCTCTCACTTTTTCACTCTTTTTGAATTGATCCCATATTTTTTCATCATTTTTCTCAGGCATTTGTTTTCAAATGCATTTAACTTTCATTCCTTGTCTTTAGTGGTTCTCCAGCTTTCACTTGCTCATGTAAAAAACTGAAATAACATTAGAATTGAAAATACGAGGGAAAGTCAATAAGTAAGTCACAAATGGTTGTTCAAAAAAAAAAAAAAAAAAACTCAAGATGATAACACATTCATTGTCCATTTATTTTGCAACACAATTTCCACCAACATTGATGCACTTGTCCCATCGTTTTATTAGTCCTCCCAAACCTGCTGCATAGAACTGCGTGCTCTGTTTTTAAAGCCACATAGTCACGAAAGTGTCGGCTCTATGGCTAAGTCTATGCGAACGCTTTGTAATGCCGGGATGCCGGGTTCCATCCCAGCTGCGGGCCATGCGCCTTGCGTTGGTTTCGACAGTGGTATCAAGAAAGCCGACCGTCCAGTAGGCAATGGCAAACTACAGGACGTAAATTTGCCTAGAAAACCCACACAACAGCCAGGTGCTGTTGTGGTTGGTTCTGCCACGTCCTGTAAAGGATACGCAGATAACCAACCAGTCACGAAAGTAACGTAAATAACCCAGACCACATATAGACTGTTAGCAGATACTGGTGGTATGCCATGCTCAGTTTTGATTTCTAAGGTAATCATGGGAGTGACCATATTCCATGCTCAGTCTTGATTTCTAAAGCGATCATGGAAGTGACCATATGCCATGCTCGGTCTTGATTTCTAAAGCGATTATGGGAGTGACCATATGCCATGCTCAGTCTCGACTTCTAAGGCGATCATGGGAGTGACCATATGCCATGCTCAGTCTTGACTTCTAAGGCGATCATGGGAGTGACCATATTCCATGCTCAATCTTGACTTCTAAGGCGATCATGGGAGTGACCATATTCCATGCTCAATCTTGACTTCTAA